ATGCCCTGAGTAAATCTCATGACACTCACTCAGCTTGGCTCCCAGAGATGAAAGGCTGACCTAGCTCTCCTGGAATTTGAACTTGTGAAGTTAAAAAGATATCACACTTGACACTGAGACATCTAAATCATCCTTCACAATTCCACACGTTCCCAGGCCAAACCAGGAAAAAAGCACATCCTTCCAACAAGTGACAAGCTAAGATCTGGGCCATCTCTCCATCACCCACTGCTCTTTTTCCTCTATTTTACCCTTTTGGGGAAAAGGTCAATGCTAAATTAATACTTTATGATATACAACAGGCAATAAATGTTCCATGCTGGACAGTATTTACCCAATATTTTTTATAGGATGCCAGGTTTTTCCAGACTTTCTCTCATATAATAGTTAACTTGTTTGGAGTGGGTGGGGAAGGAAACATAGTCATTGAAAAGAACACTGCTTCCTCCTTGAAATCTAAAGAGTCTATTATAATTCTTCTTTCAGAATCTGTCTTTCAGGCCAAATCTCCTTCAGATTAGGGAGAAGAGAAATGGTTATGCTATCCAAGAGTTCACTTTCACTAACTGAATATTGTGCTACTAGATTTCTATAAATAATCACACAAAGAAGCCCATCTCACATCAGTAGAAAGAGAGGGCACCCAGCCACCTAGATTAGTCTTCTATCCACCAGGCAGTACCTTCTTCTCTAAAAAAGCCCCTAACAGAAGCTGTGATCATGGGCAGCTCAGGGCATTATTGGCCATTGCTACTGGGAAGACTTTTGGACTTTGAGACACCAAGTACAGTTTTCGGTCTTGGGGAGATAGTACAGCAGAATGGCTAACATGGTAAGCTCCAGAATCAGAAGGAACCAGCACAAATCCCAATCTCTGCCCCATCTTCTCTATATGTTTGTCCTTTCAAAGCTTCAGACTCCTTAAAGGTCAAATGGTCAAAATACTCATACCCACCCCTAAAGGCCTATAAGAATTACATCAGAAAATATTTTCTTTTTTTAAAAATTATTTATTTATTTTTGCATTAAAATTCTTAATACACCATTATATCATAACATATCATATCTCTGATTATACATAAGGTATATTGACACCAAATTCACATCTTCATACATGTATTTTGTATAGTGATGAGGGTCTCCTTTCACCATGCATGCTATTCTCCTTCTCCCTCCCTTTCCCTCCCACCCCTATTCCCTATCTAGATACAGAAGATATTTTCAATGAGCCTGCATAGTACAATCTCCAGCACATAATAAATGCTCGTGTGATAGGTACTATTAGTATCAGTTCTGGGCTTATCAACTTGTTCCTATGTGATTTCAAGCACATCACTAAATCCTCAGCTTATTAATGGGGCTGATGTGAATAACGTGACTTCACCATGTAGTTTGAGAAGATTGAGTGAGATTATCTGCAAACTATAAAGCTTCTGCAAATGTGAAGATGATTATTATTTTCATTGTTATTAGCCTTCAATGATAGTTAATGGATAACTTTCCAGAGGAAAGCTTGGAACTAGGATAAGAACCAGAATGTAATGGGAGACAGTGAATGGTCACCTCAGGGTGGAGGTACCCATGTGCAATAACGTATATTGCAAATCAATTTCTTTCCCAGCTTATTCCCTGATGAGTTGGTTAACCCTCCTTTCAAAAGGGTTAACCAACCCCAGTAAACTGGAAGACCGATATTTTTAAAAACAATCTTACCTTCCCTGGTGTCAATAGGAAAACAGTATTTACTCACTACTGTTTTCCTTTCAAAAATCTGTCTAGTTGCATACTAGAAACAGCTTCAGCTGGTTTGTTTGTCTTGGATAGGCTGCTGAAATGAAAAGTTTTTGCTTGGCTGAATGTGGGACAGTTTCATAACCCTTTGAGAAGTGCATTGAAGGTGGTGCCAGCTCAGGACGGCCGCTCCTTGCGTGCCTACACTTGCCACCCATTGTCAAGGGTGGCCGCGTAATTAAATTAAGACAATAAGCAAAGCAACAGATGCATCTGAGACCAAGTCCCTGAGTGCTTTTGTTTAGTCACTGTCATTGTCTGCAACAAAAAAGTCACATGTGAGAGCCTGGGAAGAGAGCCAGATGCAAACCAGACAACATCCCAGCTGGTTTGAATGGCCTTCCCGTACGTGTGTGTGTGTGCATGAGAACCATGCTGCTTGGAGCAGTGCTGGGTGAGTTTCATCCCATAGCTCTGCTGTGACGCTGAGACAGGCCCAGAAGAAAAAGTCCAGAGGATACCTCTGCTCAAACCTCACACTTTCAACCTTCTGCTTTAGGAGCAAAGAAAAGAATCTCTATCGGAAACAAAAGATAAGATCTACATGATGTGTCTAGCTAACCTCAATGTTTTTGCTATAGCGCTCATGAATTTGAAGAGCAGAATACAGAATATACCTGTTGTCTTCTATAAATCTGTAATTAATTCAGTTTGCAAGGAAAACTGAGAAACATCTTACAGAGCATTGTTAACATATCATTCTTCAGTATTTTTTTAGTTTGGGCATGTCAGATTCCTAAAAATATTTGTTTTAAGCTGGTATGCATCTTAAATAGGAAAAAAAAGGTAAAACTCAAATTAGAATATATCTCTTCCTGTTAATTTGGTTTATAGTTTGGCGGAAAGGTGGTAGCCTTCAAAATAGTTATTAAGTGACTTACATGAGATACATCCCATCAGCAGGGTCAACACAGAAATTTTTCAACGAGTTTGGGAACATTTGTGTTTTTACTCTGTGGGCCTATATGTCTTTCTTTCATTTTCTTAACTACTATTTTTAAAAAAGCAATATTCATAGCTGCAATACATAGCAATAAATGCATGTTAAATAGATTTGGTAAAAGGTGTGTGCTATTTGAGAAAAAAAGTGCCAGGATTTTAAATAGAAAGATTTTGAGGATTCTATTCAAGTGCCTAGTTTGTTCGCATCAGCTTCTTTTGCAGTGGCCACTGAGCTACACTCCTTAATAAATGTTTTCATACAGTGATGCCATCTGCCTTCCATTCAGACAGTTCAGGGATATCAACCTTCAACTGGAAATGCTAGCTGCCTTTCATGAAGGACTTGGTGGTCAAACTCTATAATGTTCCAGGCAGAACTGAACACATATAAGAAAAATTGCCACATCCCTGTGGGTCTTGGCCAACAGGTATTATTTCTAAGGAATGGTAGGTGGGTTTTCTCCCATGTCAGCATTAAAACTTCTCTCGTTGCTCTAGGTCTCAGTTCTGAGCAGCACTAAGGACTCTTAGTTCCTAACAGTGCTGTGTTTGGGTGGGTGATCGTAACTTAAGCCAGAGAAAAAGTTTGGAGATTCTGGCCATCGTTATAAGAACCACTGGTTTTGGGTCTTAGTGAAAACATGTTTTAGGGATGAGGATAAGAATTCTTGAACTCCATTTTGTAATTGTCCATTATGTCCCCCCATAGAAGATTCTCTGGCTAGAAGCAAAACCAAGCAAAGAAGTGCTTTAAGTGTGTGCATGTGAATAACATTTTAGTTCACATCTCCTTATATGACTAAATACAGTGCTATTTAAATTGATTCAAGGCTAAAATAAGAACTATAGGAAAATGCATACCATGAAGGAATCCCTCATACTCATGTGATTCATCCTATAGATATTTTTTGAGCACCTGCAATATCCTGGGCCCTGTTTTAGACTCTGCAGCTGTCACAGTGTCCTTGCCCTCATAGAGCTTCGATTCTAAATGAAACTCCAAATTCCTTAGCTAATAGCCTTGTTTGTCAGTAAGTGAATAGTATCTCCAAATCACAGAACTCAGGATATTTGGTCTTAGAATGGTTACTTTGCAATACAGATGGCATAATAATAAGAGCAAACAAAGAATAACTGAAAATAGTAACAGCTAATACTTACGTAGCGCTTATCATGTGCCAGACTAGTATTAAGTGGTTTTATTATATATGAATCCTTTCATCTTTAATCCTATAAGGTAGATAATGTTATTATTCTGTTTCATGAAGCAACAGAGACAAAAGAGACCTCATTTGCACAAGTTCCCATGGCTAGAAAATACACTAATTAGGAATTGAGCTCAGCTCAGGAAGTCTGTGATTTTATAGATGACATCAATGACAAACTTGTGAATTTCTACTTCCCAAACTCTGCCTCTTTCTAGAGGGCAGGGAAAAGAACACAAAAAAAAAGAGAGATAGAAATATCATCTTTTTCACAAAAATTAAAACAGAACTTTGATAAAAACAGCAGAGGATGATCTCATCATCTGATTGATGTGTTTGTTTTATTTTGTTTTTTTCTAAGAAAAGATGCTACTGGTCAGACACAGGGATTTTCAGGATCCCTTTCCTATTAATGTGTGAGATAGGCAGATGGGTAGAAATACACTTTATATGATTATATATAATCATATATGTATAATATGATTATATATACATATATAAAAACATATGTGTGTGTATATATGTATATATGTGTGTATAATATATATATTACACACACATATATTTCCACATCACCAGACATGGAAGTAACCTAAGTGCGGTTTAACCAAGGAATTAACTAAAGACCTGTCCATCTATATGCCTCTCTCAGAAAAACCAATGCCTAAAGCTCTGCTGTAGCTTGATTCATGGCATACAAAGTACAAAAGAATGAGACCTCGTGTTAAAAACAGATGGGTACAGTTAGATAGGAAAAATAAGTACTAGTGTATTGCAGCACAGCAGCCTGTGTATAGTTTAGAATAATTGACTACATATTTTGTAAAGAATGAGAAGAGAGTGTCAGTTTCCCAGCATGAAGAAAGGATAGAATTTTAAGGGGCTAGAAATACTAATTACCCTATTTTGATTATCACTGCTGATACTCATGTATTGAATTATCTATCACAAGGTTCCCCATAAATATGTACAATTTTAAAATAGATGCACTTAAAACAATTAAATTAGCTGAGTCTACAAAACCTCACCAAGCTAACGTCACTGTCTCTCCTTTATTCATAGGAAGTTCATTTGAAGAACGCAAGTAGAGGGAGCGCAGGAAACAAGAACTACAGAATGTAGGAAGAGTCTCCTGAGGAGCCAAGAATGACATGTCACCGCAGGATTCCTTGCTCTGCGTGTTACCTGTTAAACATTGGAACACCTACCAAAAAATAAGGTTGATAGCATTTCAAAGATGGGCATTTCCCCCAAGGAAATATACAAGTAAACATTCCAACATTGTCTTTTGCAGTGATTGTTAAAAGATTTGCACCTTGCAAAAACAGTCCTGGAGTTGATAGATTGCTGTTGATCCTATATCAATCATGTTCTATAGAGAAAAAAATATATATCTTAGTCCCTGCCTCTTAAGAGCCACAGATGCATGGATGTTGTTCAGACCCAGCTGCCCTCAGTTCCTTTCTGAATCTTGGCTGATGCAGCATCCATTCAGCAACCTGGTCTAAGTGGTTTATGAATTGTTTTCTTATTTGCACTTCTTTCTACACAACACGTTTATTTTACAATGTCTAATAATCTTCTTTGTCTATCCCCATCACTCACCCCTTCATGTCATTTACGTTTTTCTAATTTGGCCTCCTCAAAAGCAGTAGCAAGAAGTCAAAGAGCCCACCGATGTTTAACCTACAAGATTCAATCTGTGGCATCTGTACCAAATATGAATTGGGTGCATTTATTTTAAACAAATAGCTTTATTTTTCCACATCATGCCACCAAAAAAAAAATATATATAAGAACGCAAGCAGTTGCAACTTTGAGGCCAATCATTTTTAGGTGTATGTTTGAAACAGAAAGTCTCTTAAACTCTCAATGGTTCCTTCGAATGATGAGTTAGCGTGCAACCTGATTAGTAAATTCTCTCTTTTTATTTTTTCCATGTAGAGCACTATGTAAATTTAGCATATCAATAATACAGGATATATCAAACAGTATGTAAAACTTTGTTTTTTAGTACAATGGTGCTATTTTGTAGTTTGTTATATGAAAGAGTCTGGTCAAAACGGTAAAAGGCGAAAGCAAAGCAGGAGGGAAAGCCTGGAGCCAAGGATGGTACCAAGGGGAGGGAAACTGGAAATTCCATCCATTTAGGAAAGAGGGCAAAGTCCCCCAATTATGCCTCAGAGGAATTTAACATACAAAACACCAATGCAAATTCGACTGGCACGTCCAGAGAGGAAGCCCTGGAATGGGAAAAGCAAAGGCTAGGAATTTTAATAGTCCTGGTTTCTGTTTCTTGCCTAAGAAACATCCAGCTCTGCCACAGACTCACCACTGTGTGACCTTGGGCAAGTCGCTTCACCTCTCTGTGCCTCAGTTTCCTCATCTGCAAAATGGGGGCAATATGTCATCTACCTACCTCAAAGGGGTGGTATGAGGGTCAAAAAGATGAAGCTTCAGATTTTTAACCTGGGTTGGTAGGAGGGCACAACACCAGAGCCCTTGAATTGCTGGGATATATGGAATTCTATAAACAACCCATTCACAACATGGCTAGAGGGTTATTAACCAAATGTTTTTATGAATACAAGTGAAAAGAGAGAAAGGAAAAGAGAACAGTAGAAAAACAAAAAGATTTCTACCAATGAAAGGGTAATCAATCAATCACTCCGTTTGTTAAGTTCTTAACTGGTTTTTTCCAAGTGGTTGCCTTCTATCTAGTAGCACCTCTTTAAATGTGACAAATAATATTCTACTCATTTGGAAAAACACACTTTTCTTGCTTCTTAGAAAAAATACAAGAAAAATGGCCTGAGATTTTAAATATTGAAGTAATATCCACTAAAATATCACATAGTTACTTTCTTTAATGGACTTTATTCTTATCCTTAGTTGTATATATACACACGTATTTTATATTTTGTGAAAATATGCTGACTACAGTTGGTAATTAAGAGACAAAAAATTCCTCCTCAACCTTGAAATTTCTCCTCATATCTGCTTAGAAGAGTGATTCCGAACTTTCTGTGAATGTCTTACACATTCAACTGAACATTGATATTAAGAAAATCCAAAAATGAGGACAGCCCCCCAAAATGCTCCCTGTCTATGGATCAGGATTTTCCTTTTAGAACAATGAACTATCCAGCATTCAGATGTTTTTATCTGCCTTAGATATTTTGGTGAAAAGCACACAGTTTGAGTATGTCATGTAAATTTTTATCTTTTATGTTCTTGGAAAGTATATATGAAAAACAAAAATGACATCTTTAGGTTTTGGGTTTTTCTTTCTTTCTACCTTTCTTACTGGGTCTCCTCAAGTTTAAGAGGCCAGGAAAAAAAAAAGGAAGACTTCCTGAATCTCTGATAATATGCAAAAAGAAGGCCTTATTCAGTGGAGTGTTCCTGTTCAGTCAACTAGCATCTTAACACTCAGTCCTCAGAGTCATTTGAATCAAGCGCCTTGGGGATGTTGAGTAAGGCTCTGATCTCTATGGAGAGATGTCAAAAAAAAAAATCCTATAAATTGTTTTTGCTCTCTGCCTGTTTTTCTAGACATGGATTCTATGGAATGAGATGCTAGACCTAAGCATCTCTCCAAGATGGCTCTTCTGATTTTTATTTCTTGTTCCCAGTGTATACCTTTTAAAATTGCTGACTCCCAGAAAAACTTCACAGGCAGTCTTCCCCAGATTTATGGGTTTCTTGACATAGTTGGATATGATAATTCTAAGGGTGACTACGACATATTTTATTCATTTAATTCTACATGCAGTCAAAAATATCCCAATGAGGAAAGCTTCAATATGTGATACCACGTCATTTTAAACAATATTTTCCAATACACAATCCCCTTGAGCTGGATCCTAAATCAACAAATAAAAATTAATTAATTAGGCTAGCCCACCCTTTTACTTCCAAATGAATTAACACTCGAAGACAAATAGATGTTATTGCTGCAATTCAATTGATTACTGCCACAGAATGGCTCAGGATTGACAGGAAAGAACTAGAACTTCACAGCTCAAAATTTTACCCACTTTGCTATGGAGTTACATTGCTTTAGTACTTAGAAATGGGGCAATTTTCAGTTGTTTATAAAAAGAATGACAAAAATTGGTAGGATGAGCTTTCAATGGATAGTTTTATTTCCAATGTAATTGACAGTATTCCACATCTCTGTCAATTTTTGGTTTCTCTTCCCCAAATAGTGTAAAGAATTATTTGACTATTTCAAGATTAGGCAATTTCACTGGACAGGCGAATGCATCTCTCCATCAAAACTCACTCTTCTATTTTAAAAGAAAATCTCATCATCCAGACTGCACACACACATGTACACATGCTCACCCTAAGAGACCAATGGAATCCTGAGTGGAAAAAAAAATTACTTCCTTGAAAATCTTACTTAAAAATAATGAAAACCAACAAAGCCTCCCTATGAATCCTTCCTTTCCCTTCCCTTAGAACATGGATGTTTGTATAGATGAAAACATCTCATGCTCTGTGGCTCCAGGGTTTCTGTTACTAGTTTATGGCTTGCAAGAATGCTTAGAATGAAGATGTAGCATATTTTGCTTTCCCATTTATTGTTTGGCCAGCTATGCCAATGTGGTGCTATTGTTTCTTTAAGAAAGTACTTGACTTAAAAAAAAATGAAAAAAAGAAAAAAAAAGAAAGCATAGACATATTTTTTTAAAGTATGAAACCAACAATTCTATAGATAGATGGCTTAATAAAATTGCATTAGATCTAGTCACACCACCTTTCAACTTTGTATCACTCACAAGTAAAGTGTTGTTCACCAAATTGTGAGTTTGGGGGTACTGGGGTAGAAGATGGAAATTTTTAAAAGTTACAAGGCTCCATTATTTCGTTGGCTCTCAAACTCAGCAAAATCAGCAATATTTCATCTAATCCAAACACTTTGATCAAGCGCATGGAGTATAAAGGGAAAGAAAAAGAAAGCTCTTCTAGGTAAATGGCAGAACTAGAAAGAGTATTCAGTTGCTTTTTGATTTTTTTTTTTTTTTTGTGCTCTGCTCTAAAACAGATATTCAGCAAGTGGAGAAAATAAAAACAAAGAGAAAAAAAAATGCATAGATTCGCCAACTACTAAAAACAGCTTCTGCCACATCTTCCTGGGGTGTTCTTGGGTATGGTCTGTAGAAGATCCTCTCCCTTCTTCAAAGATCTCAAACAGGCAGGAGCTCTCCTAAAACACAATCACTGATCTCATTGGGAAACGTGGGAAAGGACTTCCTTATGAGATGGGAGTCATCTGCTGATTAAGAAAGAGAAGCCTTTATGAGAAATTGTTGAAAGAGATGTTACAATCTGTGAAGATGTTTTTGTTCTCAGTTTCTGATTTTTTTTTTTAACTTTAAACTGCCTTTATGAATACCCGAATGTTCCAAATGACTTGGTCCTTTTCTTCTTTCTTCATATTGGAATGAGGGGATGATAAGATTAAACCACATATACTCTTTAAACCATAGGCTAGATAGAAACATATGCTTGACTTATCGAATCCAACTATTTAAAATGTTTTGCTATTTTTAACCTTGAAAGACGGTCCTAAATTGAGTCTGTTTGGCTGTCCTCATAAGAAAGAGCATTTCCTTTCAAATCACATGGATTTCCCATCGATGTTTTCAAAAGGTAAATCTGATCTATGATAGGGTCTCATGTACTTTAAAATACAGTAGAAGAACTAGCAGTCTTCATGAAGCCCCTTCCCTGAAATGATCATAAAGTCCAGGATCTGAGGGGGTGAAAACAAAAAAAAAAATTTTGGATTCTTTATTTTTATTTTTGTTATGTTTTGTTTTCAAGGCTAGTGCTTAATCTTATAGTACATATTCGCTTATTGCTATTTTAATATTCTATAAGACTTTCCTGTTAGGTATTAGAAATTGATACATAGATATCTTTTGTGTGTAATTTCTATTTAAAAAGAAAAGAAGACACAAAGACTGTCTAAAGCTTTAAGTGCATATGGTACAGGATAAAGTTAATGATTTAAATAAATAAGTCCTATGTGGAACAATTTTTTTTTTTAAGGAAAACTCTCACAGATAAAACAGGCCCAGGAGATTTTGAAACTGTCTTTATTCTTCTCCGTCCTTTTTTAAAAAAAATCTGCCTCAGAATTTTTTAGAGAGCTGATCAAGCTGAAGTCCTAGAATTAAAGGAACCTCTTTTAAAAAAAAACATACACTTCACATGGTCCCACTTAATGTATGATTACATTGATCTTAAACACAGTCCTTCTCTCTCTATTTTCCAAATGTCACTGATATAAACTTTCAAGGGAAATTTAAAAAAAAAATTAAAAAGAGAGCGAACACAAGAGTCAGAGTGTTCCTGCCCAATTGAAATATGATCTAAGATGGAAATAGAGTTTCTCCTACTTAAAAATCCAATGCTGATTCACCTTCAAAATGACCTTTTACAATCCTTAGAATACTCCTTTGTTCAAATTGCCCAGGCCTACAAGCAAACATTACTCATTTTCTTTTGCCCACAATGCACTAAAAATATAAAGTGGAAAAAATGAAATTAGAATTCTAAAAATCCCTTCCAAGCCACCCACCGACCCCACTCACAGATTCATTGCAAAGTCACTCTGTTGATCCCTTACTCTGATTTTATTTAGATGTTTATCTTGTACCTGCTGCTAAACACAGTGCAAGAGGGACTCTGAAACCTCAAGCTGTCTGCTCGCATCTCTTCTCTGTGTCTATGTATCATTAAAATGTCTATTCAAAATATCAAAAACTTTAAACATCATGTAGCTTATATTCAGTTCACATAGAAGCCCCAAATAGATGTCAGATCTCTTTTTGCTAAAAGAGTTAATGAACTATGAGAATTGGGATTACATAATGTATTTTGCTTCATGTATTTTTATCACACTTATAGGCCAAATGTGATAAATAAACTTACGGACACTGAATTAATTTTCCCCTGTTTTCTTTGAAACCAGAAAATAATGATTGGTCATTCATTGTATCTGTTTTAGTGAAAAGCATACTTTTATTAAATTAATTCTGATTGCATTTGAAATTATTATTCAATTCATTTATGGCAGAAGAATATCAGTCCTAATGACTTCTAAAAATGTACTAACTGAATCATTATCTTACATTTACTGTTTAATAAGCATATTTTGAAAATGTATGGCTAGAGTGTCATAATAAAATGGTATATCTTTCTTTAGTAATTACATTAAAATTAATCATGTTTGATTAATTTGTTCTTTTGGATAATGTTGGTGTAATGTGTCATTCCTTAAGAGGTCTACCATTATATAGCATTCTTATTAATTAACATCATCACAACAAGTAAACATGAAAACTTACCCAGAAAAATAAAATCAATCATACAACAAAATGGAAGTATCTTATAGAACTTATATTTTTTTAAAAAAGTATACTTTAAAGGATGTATACAAAGTAAGAGAAAGATAAGATGAATTATATAATATGTACATCAAAGATAAGATGAATTATATAATATGTAGGTTGAAGAAACTGGCCCTACTCACTAAGACTCAGCATTGAGTAATAACCCAGGATAGAAAGTTTTTGACAAATAATTTTCTTGCCAAAATACCTAAACATATCTTATAGAGTACATAATAAAGAGATGGCATTTAATACATGCCCAAACCAAGAGACTATATAAGAATGTGATCTTGCTCAGTATTGAGCTTTTATTTCAATAGATCTTTCTAACTCTTTACTGAATAGACACTGTGGATATCAAACTCACACAGTATTCATAGTGATACGAAGTGTAAATGTTTAAAATTTCCCTCTTGTTTAAAAGCACATGATTGATCAATTTTTCTTTTAATAAACTCACCATAAACTATTTGGAAAATAACTCCAATGTGAAAATAGCTCATGAACTTGGTACTTGGTTTTAAAGAAATAATACTGAAGTTTTCTTTACTATTTCTCACATGACCCTGATAACTTCACTCCCCATGATTCCCACCCTCACTTTCTCAAAATTTCTGTGGATCTGCCCTGGACCAATATTCCTCAGGTTCTTTCCTCCAAATGTCTAACTCATGCTTTGTCATTTTATCTCCCACGGCCACAGTCTTCTACCAGCTCTTCTCCACCCTCTGCTCAGGAGAGTATCTTTCTCCCTCCATTCACACTAGGTTAATCTAGTTCCACCCCTGCTAAAGGTTTTGTAGACAAGGAAGTGGGAGGCAATTGAGCACACAGCAGAAAAGGCATCTAATTCAAGGTCAAACATCCATTACTACACATTTTTCAAGGAATTTCTGGCTGCTCACAGGCCCTCCTGTTGCCTTAGTAAGAAATCTCCCCTGCTTTGCAAACCCTCTCAAGAACAACAGTATTTCCTATCCAACCTTTCACCACCTCCCTTAGAAAGAACTTGCGAGAAAATTCTATTATGTTCTTCTGCAGACCAAACTTCCTCTATGACAGCTTTGCCTATGGTGGGGTGGAGGCAGAGCTGACCCACATTTTATTACTGAATGTCCAAAAAGTGTTTTTTTCCAAAACAAAGGAACAATTCCATTCTTAGAAGGAATGTTATCTTCCTCCAAAGTCATTTAGGTCAAATGACTGCCACCGTTAAAAATATTATTTTCTTCCTGTCAGATCTGCATCAGGAATAATTATCAGAAATTGAAAGAGACAATAGTTTAAACAAGGTAAAAATATTTGCCAGGATTTGCCTCCCATCTGGGCCAGAACTTCTACATTAAATGTCTGTCACTATTCTAACTATAATGATGGTTAATATTCACTGAGCACTTACTGTGGGTCAGTCGCGGTGCCTAGTGACCTATCCACATTGTCTCATTCATCCTTAAAGAAAAATTTCTATGCATCAGATACGACTATGAACCCTATTTTAAAGACTAGTAATGAATGCCCAAAGACATTATTTACTTTCTGAAGGCAACAGGCAGTCAGAACCAGCTTGAATCTGAGCCGAAGACAACAAAACCTGTGTTTTTATTCTTCACCATCCACATCCCAACCCTGACTTGAAAACAGCCCAGTGCACAGATCAATACATTCTCATTCAAATTTTGTTTTACATGTTACAGGCAGAAATACAGCTAGTTATATCTTTGAGTGATAAATCACATTTGAGTATGGCATTATCAAGATAAATAAGCATTTCTGTACATGACCAGTGTTATCTACCCTGGCTTTAAACATTACTGGCTATCCTTCCTCCACTTAACCACACTATAGTATCAGTCCTGACAATGCTTCACACAGAGTATGTAACATCCAAGGGTAAACCAATCTCCAGACTCCTTGGGAAGGAAGGTTATGTCTTGTGCTCTTACACAATCCAGAAATAAACAATTTTCACATGAGTCAAACTAAAGCCGATCATAAAGAATCTTATCAAGGGCTCCAGCAATAATCCATCTACTTTTTTCCCTTGACAATTTATCAAAGTCAGTGTAGTCTCAAGGGTAAAGGTTGAATCAGAGCTGCTGGAAGAAAAGAAAAAAAAAAAAGTGCCCTTGAAGCTTGGAACTTCATGAGACCACGCTCCAATGAACTTGTCCTCCAAAACAGTCTGTTAGATCACATTACAGGTTCCCAGTAGGAACAGTGCTGGTCCTAGATGGCATTTTGAAAACACTAGGGATACCTGGGGTTGTCACAATGATTGGGGAAAGTGTTACTGGCATTTATTAGGCAGAGGCCAGGCCTTCAGAATTTTCATGTAGGTGATAACCTTGTTTATAATCATTAAGTGTAGAATATAACTCCAATTTATTTTAAAACTCAAAGTATTTTTTCATGATTTTAACACAAGCTGGATTTTGCAGAAATGCAATTGCCATGTAGACCGAGGGAAGGTTTTAGGTCTTTTGTTTGGAACTTTACCAAATGTTGTTGCCATTTTAGAAAATCTGCACCAACAGTGGCAATGTTGATTGTGCTATCTGAAACTCTTCAGTCCATACCTAGCAGTCTGCACAGGCAGTTTTCACATTCGCGATTCCCCACACGGGCGTAAACATCTGACAACTTCATTATGTTTTCTAGAAGAGTTGTGTCTGAGCATTTCTATCTTGTGATGCATGCTTTCTTATTACAAACTCTTTTTCCTTTAATTTCTCCTTTATATTACAATCCAAGCACGGCTCTGATTTGTCATGGTTGTTAAAATTGTGTATTTCAATGTAATCTATGAATCTCACTTTGGAAATTAAAATGTCTGTCACAAAATGTTCATTATAAAAAGTGGAGCTTTGGATCTGACAGGGCTGAGTCACAAGGATATCAATTTTGACGCTCCCTGGGTCACAATGACAGATAGATGGCAGAGCTTTTGCTCCCTTAGTCATGAAGAATCCTAAGTACAGAACTGAACTAAAAACTGGCCTCTTCCTCACCTGTTTATGGATAGAGATTAAGCCTCTTTGGGATCCAATAAAGGATAATGGTTATGGTTAATACAACATCTGGTTTCTAAATGTTCTTTCCTTTACCCTATGATGGGATTAGATGACTTTGAAAAGAATAAAGCAATCACTAAAAACAGAAACAGATGTAAATTGCATTTGAGACAATTGCAGCCGTACATCAGAAGTAACATTTGACCTTGGATTTCAAGTAAGGTAGGAAATGTGGCCTGGCAAGAAGGTTCCTCTCTTTAGTTAGGGAGGAAGAGAGTTAAAGATCAAGTAATTGTCCTATAATTTCCTAACTCTACTTATTTCACTCAGTGGCTCCTGCCTAGCCCCCAGCTCATTCAAATGGAAATGAGGAGGGGGTCATAGACATTAGTTATGTCAACTTCTCTATTTAAGTGCTGTAACTGAACCTAACATTCTACCCCACACCGTTCTTCCCAACCCAAATATCTAACAGGTAAATGGGGGAAGGGTTGTTCCTTGAGAAATTAAAAGAGACAATAGTTTAAACAAGGTAAAAATATTTGCCAGGATTTGCTTCCTATCTTATTTGGCCCAGAACTTCTACTTCAGCCACCCTTATATAATGTAAAATGCACCAAAGTACCAAAGTTCTCTTTGTATTTATTCTGGATCTCTCTACTTTAAGAGTCATCTGGAAATACAAACAACCCCAACCCTGTCTAATAGGCCAAATTGATTCTTCTAGACTGTTAATATTGAAAAGTCTCTTTAGGTATCACTAGACCCTGCAGCTATAGTAAAAGCTATAGTAAAATTCACTATAGATTTATGCAAAATGTGCTGGTTGTTAACCTGTCTGCTTTTGTACCTGTTTCTCATCATTCCCTTGATCTGCTCTATTTTACAGGGAACTACATTTCACAGCATCTATGTTTTCTGGTCTCTGGGTGAATTTGTCCAAAGGAGACATAGCAAAAGGTTGAGGATAAGAGGAAGGAAGAAGCCAGGGTATCCCCCCTGCCTTTTCCCTCTGCTTCAAGTAGCATCTTTTAGCAATATGTGCAGCCTCTCCCTCCATGGTCCCTGTCCTCCAGCCCAAGAAGCATCTCATGCCTCCTGATGGACCTAGGTCTATCTACTGGTTTTTCCCACTGGGAATTTATCTCCTTTCTGTGTCTCTCTAGCCCTAGGCATAGTGATTTCCTGATACTGATATTCTCTGGGTGGGTTCCTCTCCCTTATTCAGCTACCCATCTCTTTATCACCTACATTAAATCCTCTACGTGTTAATATACAGGGGTTATATTAACCCTAAGCAATACAAATAGGAACAAGATAGCAGTTAGAAACATGGGTGCAGAAACCTGGCAGAAGTGAGTTTGTGTCATGGTTCTGGCATTTCTAGTTGGTTGCTTTGGACAAATTAAAATGACTTCTATGAAGATCAGTAATATCTGTCTTATATTAATAGGAGGATTAAACATTATTATGCCACAGTTCCTAAACACCTAAATTTCTCAAAATAGTGAAATTTCAAAAACTAAAAGTAAAAATTGGGTGAAATGGACATCGGATGGCAAAATCTGTATTTAGCTAAAATAAGGCCATAAAAAAAATCATCTATCACCAACATTTGTCATTAAAAAAAGGAATTTCAAAAAACATGGCATGGATATGAGGAGGCATTTCTTTTAATGGAATAAATAAAGCTGTATGGAAAACTCATTACACTGGCTTCATTCTTTTCATCTTTTTTATTTCTCTGTGGCTAGATGAAAATACCAGCACAGTCTAGCACTATCTGTTCATTAGGTCTTGCTCGTGTAGTTTATTATCATTGTTTTTATTCTCATCACTATGGCTAATACT